TTAGGATCAGAAATTCCTATTTGTGATTATTCTTAAACTATGGTTACTAATGGTATTGTGACAGTTAACTTCTGTTAGCACCTGGCCTAGGTGTAAGTGCCTGTAATCTAGCACTTGAGAGTTACAAGTTGGAAAGGTAAACACTTAAGTTATCTGATTGGGCACAGTGACACCGATTTAATCTAGGCACTCAGGAGGCAGAGGCTGGTGGATCTCTGTGAGTTTGAGGCCAGTCTGGTCACTGAGCAAGTTCCAGAACAGCTAGGGCTACACAGAGAAACCCTGTCTCAAAAAACAAACAAACAAAATGTCATCTTTGGCTGCATTCAAGGTGGTTCTAAGTAAGAGTTGCAAGGGTACATCTAAAGAAATGTTTTTCTGGGGAAAATAATTCTAATGTATTTAAGAGATCCGATGGTTGAATCAAATTTAACTGCAATTTCTTTTTTTGCAGGTAAACTTCCCTGAAAACGGCTTTTTCTCTCCTGATAAACTCTCTTTGCTGGAAAAACTCCTTCCTGAAAGGAAGGAAGTAGAAGAGACTGATGAAATGGATCAGGTGGAACTGGTGGACTTTGATCCAAATCAGGAAAGACGGCGTCATTATAATGGAGAAGCATATGAGGACGATGAACATCACCCCAGAGGTGGCGTTCAGTGTCAGACCTCTTAGTGCGCTAGTCACTCTCTGACATTCTATATGCAGTAGTGAATGTGGGAAGGACTGTGATCGTTAATACGCTCACTACTTGGCTATTGTTTTTGTTTTAATATTCAAATATAGTAGTGTTTTAAAAGTTAAATGAAGAATAAACACAAATATAAAAGCTCTGACTTTGCCCTGTATGTATAATGACTTCAATGTGCAAGATGAAAGTTTAATATTGTAAAAATTACTTTAAAAGTTCCCTAGCATATGTTAGGCCATATCTTGTGTAACTGATAATAGCTGTGTACATTAGACTGACATGCTAGTTATGTGTTGTATGTTAAGCTATGAAATTAAAATTCTGTATTTAACTGGTAATCAGAAAAAGAAAATGATTATAGTGACATGTTGGTCTGTCTAGTTGTATGAAGTGAATTGTGATGCCTCTGCATTGTATTGCATCAGCCAAATCCTAGAAGGTGGTTTAATATACAATTTCTGTTATTTGTGATAGAAATAACATTCCTAAAGAAGTTTATCATAAGGGCTTGCTCTTTTAGATTGCGTTCCCTTCTGCTGTGCCATCTTTAAAACTACACACACAGAAAACATGGTCACCTTTTTCCCCTCTCAAACCCTTGGTAGTGACTTCCAAAGCCCAAGTAATCTACAGATTAAAGTGACAAGACTTGTATGTGGAGAATGTATAATAATGTATAATCCAGGAAAGGTGTTCCTTAGGTCTGCTACAGGCTTGCTTAAGTTCCAGCGTAACTGCAATTTAATGTTGGTAGTACAGCAAACTGATAGCTTTGTTGTATGTTTTAAAGTCACATGTTCACATGCTTAAATCTGGATATCAGAATTTAAGCAGTTATTGAAATGTATGACTTTCTCCTAATATATTGATTGCAAGTGTTTCCAATGTGTCACTGCAGGCCTTTCTTTCTCAGTTCATCAGAACATTATGAAGATGATGAAACTTGTTACTTTGTTCCCAAAATGTTCAAGTAGTAGACTATATGGGTAGGAAATAAAAGATAAATGTGACCCCAGGTCAGAAAAGAGAACTTCAACCTTCTTGGTGAGAATATGTGAGTTTCTTGCCAGTCAGCACAGTCTGTACATGGCTCTGCCATATTGTCTGTAATCACGAATTTAAAAACATTTCCAACCTGAAAGACTGAAGCTTCCTTCATGAGAACATTTGAGTTAAACACCAAGAGGCCGGGCATGGGGGCACTCTAAATTTGAGGCCAGCCTGGCCTACAAAGAGTGGACAACCAGGGCTACAAAGAAACCCTGGTTTGGAAAAAAGATCAGAGCTCGAGAGACCGCTCTATGGTTAATTAGCATTGTGTTTTTGAGAATGCAGGTTCAGTTCCAAGCACCTACAGAGCAGTTCACATGTCCTCAAACTCCTCTCCAGGGCATCAGAAACTCACTCTAGGCATTAGGCACAGACATATATAGACATTCATGCAGACAGAAAAATTAAAACTTGCCAGAGAAAAGGGTTCCAGGCCTTCATTGTCACTGGTTTGCAATTTTGGCTGTGAATGGAAATGTTTCTTTATGTGCATTTCACATGAAGGTGTCAAATTCCCTGGAACTATAGTTAGTTGTGAGCTGCCATGTGGGTACTGTGAATTGAACCTGGGTCCTCAGGAAGAGCAGCTAGTGCTCTTAACCACTAAGCCATCTCTCTCGCCCAGCCTAGGAACACTGATCAGGTCTCATTCTGTTGGGGGTTTGCCTTCTGCTAGTTTGTGTTCAGTAGCCTGAACATGAAGGTGATTGTGTAGCTGAGGTTGAAGACTACCAATATGGGGGAGAACTATAAGTCACCTGGGACAGCCAGCCATCATGGTGGTACATGCCTGTAGTCCCAGCATTTAGGTGGCTGAGGGCAGGATAATGCATGGGATTTGTATTGGGTTCAAACCCAGTCTGTGCTGTCAAGTCATATGATCACTGCTGATGGTGTTCCAATTTTAGACATCCACCATGGTTGGAGATTATAGTTCAGTTGGTATAGTAGCTTGGTTACATCTTCAGCACTCAACAGAACCAATTTGGCAGGTAGGTGACTGAGCTGGTAAAAGCATAAACCTGGTTAAATGTCAGGCTTTGTTGTTGAGTTTTTGTCTGTTTTTGTTTTCTTCCTTCAAGATGGGGCCTCATTAGGCTGTTCTAAAACGCATTATATAAACCAGGCTGACTTTGAGCTCAGATCGGCTTCCCAAATGCTGGAATCAAAGACATGCACCACAGCATTTGGCTGGCTGTTGAGCGTTTTAAACTCAAACCAGGAAGCCATGTTACCTTGAACATACTGTAGTTTAAGCTTTTCAAATATAGGATTCTAACATGCTGTATAGAACAGAAATGCTGTTACTGTACCTTTAGCATTTACGATGGGACCTTTGGGAAGAGTAAAAATGAAATCACCTACCTAAAGGATGACAAAATGCTGTATGTGAACATGCTTGCTAATTGGTCTCAGTGTAGTAGTTTGTGTTGGTCTGGGGTAGAACCTAAAAATGTCTTTCAAACAAGCTACTGGACTGGTAAATCATGAAAGCAGACTGGAATCTAGCTGCTTTGTGATCAGTCACATGAAGTCAATGTTTAACAGAAAATACATAAATTCTGAGTCAGCTTGAACCTAGAAGAAAACTGCAAGACTGAAAAACTAGCAGTGAAGGAAGAATACTACACCTGAGAATTATTTACACTGGTGGCATTTCTAAAAAACATTGCCCTGAAACATGATTCATCATGAGTTGGGACAGGACACATTTTTTACCACCAGGATTTATGTGGTGGGCCACATAAAGACTACTACCTCTGTGGAATCAGACTTCATATGAAAGTCCCAGGCACTAAGCTTCTGTTAGCCCCTACTACAGGGCCCTTAATCTTTGGTTAGGTGGGTAGCCAAGTTAAAAAGCAATAGTGCCAGCAGCCTTCCAGCAAGTCCCACATCTAAGGAGATTCCCACAACTTGGCCACCTCAATGGGAAATGAGTGCCAGGGCTAGGCGTTAGCCTCAACGCTGCCTCAGCACAGGGTTATTAGGGGAGGGTCCCTACCTTCAGCCTTGGAGAAAACTGGCTATGTGGAGCTTAAGAAAGGGCAGTGGGCATGCTGGCATATGCCTTTAGTCCCAGAAATTGGGAGGCAGAGACAGCCTGGTCTACAAAGTGAGTTCTAGGACAGCCAGGGCTACACAGAGAAACCCTGTCTCAAAAACAAAGGTCAGTCTTAAAAGTTCTTTCCAAATGTAGCTGAAGAATGAACAAAGGTGGTCTGTTAAAACTATCTATACTCCCAGCAACTAACATTACCAGTTTGTCCCATATTTAGCTTACTGATAATACCACACTGCAGTTCCTGTTTTGAGACAGGATCGTACAGTGCAGCCCCAGCTGGTCCTAAAACTGGTTGTGATTCTGGTTTGTGGGTACTGGGTACTTGCCAAACTCCTATTTAACTCTTGGGTTTTCTCCCCCTCTTTGAGTCAGACAAGTACAAGGTCTCCTATTAACCTAGGTTGACCTTAAACTTTTTTCTTGTTTCTCTTTCAAGACAGGGTTTCTCTGTTTAACAGCCTGGTTGTCCTGGAACTCAATCTGTAGGACCAGGCTTGTCTTGAGCTTACTTTAGGACTAACTTGAACTTCTGATCCTCCTGCCTCCACCTCCCAACTGCTGGGATTACAGGTGTGCACATGTATGTGGTACTGGGGAATCAAACCAAGACATGTATTCTAGACAATGAACTAGAGCCCCAGCATCAAATGTGAAACTTGGTAACAACTTTCTCAATAAAAAGCCTAGGAGAAGAAGGCCTCACTTTCTTGATACAATTTAGCAGTTATCTTTGTACATTATAAATGTTCTGTCTTTGGTTTAAATGTGAAGGACATCAACATGGAACACATTTTTAAGAGTTTTGTTTACTGTGAAAAGTTTTTCTGTAGCTAACTGAGAAGTATATACATTATAAGAGCTAAATCGTGGGTCCCTTTCTAATTTTTCTTCACAAAAGTCCATTTGCAAGTGCTCTATCATCCTCTACATAGAAGAGAGAGGTGCCCAAACTTCAAATCCCATAAACAACCCTGTAACTAGTTCCAACTGAAATAAAAGACTAAATTCCCTGAAGTGGGCCTGAACATAAAAGGTAGAGCTCAGAATGAAAGGCTGACAAGCAAATAAGGTCATGTGTCACCAGGGCTTTTTCATGTTAGCCTACCTTATACTGTCCAAGGAACTGACTACCAGACTGGAGGTTCAAGAATAAGGATTCCCTCTCCCACATATGAATATTTGTGGTAAAGTCTTCAGAATGGTATAAATTTATTAAAATCTTTTTTTTTTTTTTTTTTGGAGGTGACAGAGGGCAAAGTGTCCCACTTATACCCAACACTGTAAACATACACAGTCTATATTACATGTGCTTCAGTCTGGTATTTGTAGTCTAGGAGATAGATCTCAGGAGCTGCTACTCTCCAGCCCACCCAGGAAACAGAGCCAAAAGAGGAATGGTTCCCAAGTTCAGAAGGAACAAGCAGCCAAGGCTGTTCCACTCTGGCTCCAGAGTCCTCTATGTGTGTTTGGGTGTGTATGTGCATGTATATGGAAAACCTGTGTCAAAGTATGTACAAAGAGAAAGGGAGGTCACGGTCACAGAGGTCAGGGCAGGCAGGGTTGCTCAAGGCAGGGCCTGCTTCGATAGCTAGCTCACAAGTAAATCCTCCGCAGGTCTCCAAAGTGCTGTGATGGTAAACATGCCTCCATGTAAGTGCTTGCTCCCTGGCTGCAAAGAAAACTGTCTGAATGAGTGAGAAGAATACCGCAAGGCTGCAGTGCAAGGCTGCCTTAGGGTTTCCAGAGCTTCAGGAGTCCATCTTCACTGTAGGTGGCAATCAGGTTCTGGTGCGGGTGGTGGGCAATTCCGATCACATCCTTCTCGTGAACCTGGACCGTGGAAAGCAGTCAGAGTGCACAGACCTTACTTAACAAAGCACTCCAAGAGGCCTCCAGAGTTGAGTGGGGATGAAGAAGGGACCCTAAGAGGTCACATACTCCAAATGCCATTGCTTGAAGAGGGCTCTCCAATTACTGATAATCAGATAGTTTTCATTTTGTTAAATCACTAAGATTTGTGGACTGCTTATTAAAGGAACTGGCATGCATCATTCCTCATAAGCTGGGAGGTGACACACACTTTTAATCCCAGAAGGAGGCAGAGACAGGTGGATCACTGAGTTTGAGGCCAACCTGTTTTACAGAGCAAGTTCCAGGACAGCCAGGGCTACACAGAGAAACCCTGTCATGAAAAAGAAAAGAAAATACTCCTCATAACTCCAATTTTTTGAAACTTAATAGCGGAAAGCTGAAAGTTTCAAAAGCAATCAATTTGGAAGGATAATAGGCAAGTCATTTACCTTCTAAAGGTATTGGAGAAAGCCTGTCTCCAACTCCTCTGCCTGGAAGATCTGCCTAGTTAGCTAGACAGTATGTCCCTCTGCTTTCTGTACAGTCATCCTCTTCCCTGAAGCCGAACTGCATTATCTGAATTCTAACATGTGATACAGTTACTTAACTGTGCATTGGCAAGCACCTCCACTGCATGCTCTCTATAGAGGTTCACACTGACGGTGGTCAGCCTGCAGATGGCTTGTCCTTCAGGGCATGCATCCCCAGTTACTACTCACCGTCAGAGTTCTCTCCAGCTTGCCAGTGACTGTGCTGAAGCAGTAGAGCACAAAGTCTTCCCCAACACAGTAGATCCACTCACCACGGGGCGACAGGGCACAGCAAACAAAGTCACCACCCTCTCTTTTACCAGAACTGAAACTTCTGACAATCTGGAAGGCACCACATCCAAAGAAAAGAACAAGATTTACAGCAGGTCAACTGCAGGCAGCATGCTAAACTACCCCTGCAGCTGACCTAGCACTTAGTAAGGACTGTCTGTTTTGAGACCTAGTCTCGCGTATCCAGGCTGGTCTCAAGCTTGCTTGCTATGCAGTCAAGGCTGACTTTGAATTCCTGATCCTTCTGCCTCCAGCTTCCAAGAGCTGGGACCTAAGTGTGTTCAGGCTTCCACCTGAAAACATTCAACAAATAAGCTACCTAAAATTAAAGAGCTGACAGAAATTTTGAATTGTGCTTCCAAGTCACCACCCCGTCCTCTAGTTTACTATGTTCTCCTGAGGCAAATTCGGTACCTTATATATAACCATTTTCTAAATCAATATACCTCTAGTTTTCAGTACTACCTGAACTTAAAATTCCAGTCCAAACAGATGCAATGCCCATCCCCCACCCGTGATGGACCAAGTAGGACTTTGCTTTATGGTATATAACATTAAACTCATCTTGGTAGTGTTCAGCTTAAGTCCCAGCACTTGGGGGCTGGGGAAAGGACACCCAATTCAAGGCCAGCCTAGGCCACACAGTGAGACACTGATGCTTTCTTCCCTTGTTAGCCTGTGTAGTAGTTACATGTCCAGAGAGAGTAATCCACACCACAATAGGCCTCCCTAAAAGGAAATGCTGCTAGCTAAAGGAGGCTGAAGACAGGCTGGAGCTGGGCACAGTACACCCATAAACCCAGACTGAGGAGCCTGAGAGGAGGGTCACTGAGTTTGAGGGTAGACCAGCAAGACTCTGTCTCAGAAACAAGACAGACTAGATGAAGGAGAAAAAGCATCATATATACACTGCAGAAAGGGTGCACTTCCGTATGGGTATCTACAAATATAGTTCTAAGCTAACACAGCTTAGAAGCAGGCACCTCGTTAGTTACAGTATGGGCCAGATCAAGGCCAGTGCAGAAGCACTTTCTGAGAACTCACCTGCCCCTGCATGTTCATGATGACCACTGTGTTTGACCGGTTGCACACAACAAAGTGCTCTGGGTTTTTAGGAAGCAGAATCACACTATTGACGGTAATATCTGTCCCTGCAGTACTGCCTAGGGACTTAAAGGTATTTGAACATTCTGTGGTCTTCATATTCCAGATCTACCATACGAAAACAAAATATAAACATTTTGAGTATGAGAATCTCTGAAGTTTAAGGCTTAAAAGTTAACAATTAGGTTAATAAAAATGAGTAAAAATGGACTCAAACAAAGCTGCTTGATCTTAAGAAAATCAAATAACCAATACTGCCACATGTAAGCACTCTTCAGCATTTAACTAGCATAATAAAATGAAAACTACAATAAACAATATGATCCAGGATCTTTCCTTATACATTCTTCCTTAGCCAAAAGAACCACACACCTTGAAATTAGCTACGTGTCACTGCTATCTTCATAAACAACCAGGAGCACAGTGGCACATACCTGTAATCCCAGAACTTGGGGAGCTGAAAGTTCAAGGCCAGCCTGGGCTGCTGTTATAGCAAGATCCTGTCTCAAATCAAACAAAATACCAAGCATGATGGTACAGACCTGTAATTTCAGCCATCAAGAAGCTGAGACAGAAGGATCCTTACTTTGAGAAAGTATATTCTACAATGGCTCCGGTAAGAAGGGAGGGAAAAATTACCCAGGAACTGAGGACATGCTCAGTAAAGTACTTGCTAGACAAACATGAAGACTTAAGTTTGATTCCCAGCGCCCACATAAAAATTGGATGCCAATAATCTCAGTACTGGGAAGGAACCAGGACAGCCAACCAGCTTATCTGAATCTTTGAATTTCAAGTTTAGTGAGAAATCCTGTCTCAGTAAGTTGGAAGCTGAGAGTGGCTGTACATGCCTGAAGTGTCCCCGACCCTGCAAGAACCCCTGAACAACATGGAGAAGCAACTGAGGAACACCACCCAAAGTTGACCTCTGGGCTCTAAGTGCGTAAGGAGACATGCACACACCCACATATACAAACAAAATACTCAAATGGCATTAAAACCGAAGGAGAGGTTAGCTTAGCGCCCTATCTTCAAAACTGATTTGGTGAGGCCGAGGTGTAAGACAGAAGCATGGGAATTTTCTTGAAGTTCCACAAATGACGCTAATGTACAGCTTACTGAATATGGTCAAAAAGAAACCACAACATTGGCACATACATGGGAATCTAGGAGGCTGAAGCCCTTCAGACCCTAGAACTACTTATCTTGGTGTATTTTTTTATATTAATTACAGTTTATTCACTTTGTATCCCAGATGTAGCCCTTCCCGCTTTCCCTCCCAATCCCATTATCTCAGTTTTCACCTTGTTCTAGTCAGACACCCTGAAAAGCCTGTGATATGCTTAGAAGAGATGGACCAAGGATTGCCTGGTACTGTTCAGATACCCTCACTAAGGAGGTGGGAGAGCCTCTCCAACATGCCCCTGATGCTTTTCCTATGTGATTAACGAAGCTCTGCACAACACAGATGTCTTCTAAACACCCATGAACAGTCACCACCACAGGCACACCTGCCACCAACTCCTGGCCCCTTGTTTGTCTTTAAAGAAAAGGTCTTAAACAGCAGAGACTGGCACTGAACTTGTGGCAAGAGGGGTGCCTTAGATTCCCAACTGCTCTTATTCCTATGCTTTCTCTCCCTTCCTCCTCTTCAAACAAGGAAAGTTCTAAACTGGAAGAGAAGCACAAGAAAGGAGGACTTGGTCACTGAGACTTCTGAACTGATTTTAAGGAGTGGTTAAGTAGTGGCCTCTAGTTATGGGAAGGGACACTGAACTACTGCATGTATCTATGAATGAAGGAAGCCTCACTAGGTTTAGAAGAACCTCTTTCTACACACGATAAAGCTTGGCCTGTATGAATCTGAGGATACATGAGTGTGTACCATACACAACAGGGAACTTTTGTCTCAGATCACATGCTAGATCATCACCATCCTGACCAACGCTACCTTCATAACATCCCAGAATGAGTCGGTGCTGATACTTCACCTTCACAGTGCCATCAGAAGATGCACTGATGATGTAATGCCCATCTTGTGTGAACGTTGCCTCGTTAACAAAGGAGGAATGGCCCCGAAATTCCTTCAGTGTTTTTCCAGATTTCAAACCATGAATTCTATCAAATAAAATTAAAAGAATAATATTCAGTATGTCATTCTGGGGAGCAAAGTATTGAATGCATTTTAAGTGAACTGCAAAAGTATTACACTATTAAATTAAATATACACAGTATAACTTCATTATGTCAAACAATGAAACAGAAAAATGCAAACTGCACAGCAAGAGACTGAGAGAAATACCAGTAACCACAGGCTTCCGTCCAGACCAGTAAGAGATTAGTAATTAGTGGGTCTTAGCTATGTGCCAGGAATCTGGGTCCTCCAAAGCACTAAGAACACAGGTGGCTCCACAGACCACCTGTTTCCTTTTTCAAGACAGAGTTTCACTGGGAAGTCCAAGCTGGCTTAGACTTGGTCCACCTGTCTCTCCTTTCCAAGCACTGGGAATGCAAGCTTCCAGCTCCACACCCAGCTCCACAGACCATGCACTGAGACATGAAACACCGTTATTTCATCCTTGCAGGTCTCTTCTGGATAAAAACTCAAATGCACAGAACAGTGCTATGCCACCTGAACTTGAGGAAATGAGGCCTATATACCCTTGCAATCACATCACCCCATCCTGAAAACAGCATAAAGGTTCATGAGTAACTTCTCCCTCTGGGGTCCTGTTTTATCACATCTTCACGAGTTCAGGGATCCCTCTTACCTTATTGTCTGGTCAAAAGATGCACTAAGGATCTGACTGCTGTCCTTAGAAAAGCTTAGGCAGGTGACCCCTTTACTATGTGCCCTTTCAAATCTTCTCAAACACTGTCCACTTTGAATCTTCCACACCTTTATTAAGAAAATAAAAGTGTGAATAAAGTGTTAGCAGATACGGCTCCCAACACAGTGCTATTATACCAAGACAGCATGAAAGCTGCATGTGAACGTTTCCATCTGGCATGTCTACTGTAGTAGTATAATGATGTGAGATCCGTTGAAACTTAAAACTCTTTTCTTATAAATTATTAAGATAAAGATTCAAGACTAGGGGCTGGAGAAATGGCTCAGAGGTTAAGAGCACTTACTGCTTTTGTAGTGGACCCAGGTTCAATTCCCAACACTTATATGATGGCTCAGAACTGCCTGTAAATTCAGTTCCAGGGGACTCTGATGCCTACTTCTGACCTCCTCAGGCACTAGGCCCAAACACTGTGCACATACATACATGCAGGCAAAACATTCATACACGTAAAATAAATAAATCTTAAAAACAAAGACAATTAAACCTTTAAAACAAACAAAAAACAAGCCACAGGTAAGAGTATTTGTCTAACATTTACAAGGCCCTGAGTTCAATCCCCAACACCTCACATGCACACAAAAAGAAAAACAATAAAACAATAGCTATGTCCATTAAGCAGTGACCATTTCCATATTTTACCTAGCCCCAGCTCCACCATAAGCAATTAAAAACCAAGTACAGCTAATGGGCTGTATACCATTCCCTTAATACATTACATACAGTGAGCTACAACCAAAACAGACAAGGACAGATTTGAACTGAAGTGCCAGATCTGTAATTTATCAGCTGTGTGACTTTAAACATGTTAATAGACCATCCCACACAGAATTATTAGTAAAATTTAACAAGAAAAAGGAATTAGCATCAAGTTGATGCTTACAAAAAAGTGCTATTTTGATAATGAATGTCAGGTGTACCACACCATTAAAAAACTTGAAAAGGGCTGGGCAATGGTGGTGCACGCCCTTAATCTCTGCAACAGAAGTAGAAGCAGGCAGATCTCTGAGTTCAAGGCCAGCCAAGGCTACAGAGAGAAACCCCATCTCAAGATAAACCAACAACAAAACAAGAAACCTGAAAATGTTTAAATACAAGCACTCTTGGCACCGATCATACCTTGATCTTTCCATCTTGGGCCCCAGTTGCTAACATTTCAGTGTCTCTACTGAAACACATGCAGAGGACAGCATCATCCATCATCATGAAGTTATCCTGGGCCTGGTACTTAAGATCCTAAAGTAAGCAACGATTAACAGTTATTAAACTAACACAAAATCACACCAGTGGCCCCACCCAGAATTGCTGAAATTGACTAGAAGCAGGACGATGGAGTGTGTCTACTTTAAACCTCCAAAGCAAATAGCAGTGCCATGTACAAGTTCCTCATGAACAACTGATAAAACTAGGGATAAATAAATTTACATAACTCAAATTACACTACAGGAAGTACCAACGTAAGGTAGACATGGCAATGCCTCTGGTGACTCACCGAACGTCTCTACGCAAAATGTCTCTCCAGTCTCACATTTTCTGTCTTTAACAAATCTCAATTTACTTATTTGGGGGATAACATGAGAAAGTAAGCAAACATTTGTCTCAACCTGTCAGCTACCTTTCCTAAAATCATCTACAGGAATATCTATGTATGATGTTTCATTTATCATCTATCACTACTCAAATGAAAGGGTTTTTTGTTGTTGTTGTTGTTGTTCTCATTTTCTATTTTTCAGGAAGGGAAGTTTTGAGATTAGAGGCATATATTATCACACACAGAAAATGAGACTGGTTTTTGTTTTTTTATTATAAAGTGAGATTGTTTAATGATTTAAACAAATGGGCCAGAAAGATGACTTAGGTGGCAAAGACTTTTGCCACAAAGGCCTGGCCACCTGAATTTCATCTCTGGAACTCATGTAAAGGTGGGAAGAAGAAAATCAACTCCACAAAGTATTTCATATATTTTTTAAATATGTTTCCATTATTTGTCTTTCAGAAGTTGGTGCTTTTCTTTTTCTTTTTCTTTCTCTTTTTCTTTCTTTCTCTCTCTCTCTCTCTCTCTCTCTCTCTCTCTCTCTCTTTTTCTTTTTGAGACAGGATTTCCCTGTGTAGCCTTGGCTGTCCTGGATTCACTTTGGAGACCAGGCTGGCCTTGAACTCACAGAGATCTACCTGCATCCTTTTCCCTCCCCCAGTGCTGGGATTACAGGCATGTGCCACCACACCCAGTTGTATTCAGTACTTTTTTAAACCAAACATACAAAAAAGTGAAAATCGCCCATAAAATCCACTACCCCAGCTGGCAAGATGGGCTTAATGGGTAAAGAGGTTTCTACTACTGCGATAAAACACCGTGGCCAAAGCAGCTCGGGAAAGAGAGGATTTATTTCATCTTTTACACAAAGGTAACAATCCTTCACTGATGGAAGTCAGGGCAGAAACTCAAGCAGGGCAAGAGCCTGGAGGCAGGAGCTGATGCAGAGGCCATGGACAAACACTGCTTATTGGCTTCCTTCCCAAGGCTTGCTTAGCCTGCTTTTTTATGGCACCCAGGACCACCAGCCCAAGAATGAAGGATTTAGACTGGAAGGTGGGGGTAGCACCACCCACAACGGCCTAGACCCTCTCACATCAATTACTAATTAAGAAAATGTCCTACAGGCTTGCCTACAAACCTATCTTAGGAAAGCATTTTCTCCATTATGATCTATTCCTCTCTGGCTGGAGAGATGGCGCAGCAGTCAAGAGCATTGGTCACAACAGTCTCTAATTCCAGTTCCACGGGCTCTGACACCATCACTCACATGCAAACAGGCAGAATGCTAATGCACATAATATAAAAACAAATAAATCACGAAAGAAAAAGATTCACTGGATACGGTGGCACACACCTGTAATCTCAGCACTCTGGGAGGCAGAGGCAGGAGGGTCTCTGTGAGTTTGAGGCCAGCCTGGTCTACAAAGTGAATCCAGAACAGCCAAGGCTACACAGAGAAACCCTGTCTCGAAAATAAATAAATAAAGGAATGAATGAATGAATGAATAAATAAATAAATAGAATAAATAAAAGAACAAAAAGAAAAAAATAAGATTCCTTCCCTTCAAATAGCCCTAATGACTACTGTTAATTTGACAAAAACTAGCTAGCACCGATATCTGCTATTACTAAAGTCTGATTCCTGAGGTCCATATAAGATCAGTAGAGAACCAACTCCCACAAGTTGCCCTCTGAACTCAGCACAAGCACATTGGAACAAAAGCATCCATAAACAAAAAAATTATATTTAATATTTAAAAATATTTAATATTTAAAATTAAACATTAAATAATGCATTAATAAATTTATCGATAAATTAAATATTAAATTAAAAATATTAAATAATAAAGAAAATCATTATATACGGATTGAAATTTAGTGTAATGAAAATCACACTGGAATGGATGAGTCAATAAACAGTAATCTGAAGGTAAAATAAATTGGATCTACACTTACCCATCTATACAAATTCCAGGAGTAAATCAAAAACTAAAGCAAGGCCAAGTGGTGGTGGCACATTCCTTTAATCCCAGCACAAGAGGCAGAGGCAAGCAGATCTCTCTGAGTTCAAGGCCAGCCTGGTCTATAGATCTAGTTCCAGAACTGCCATGGCTACACAGAGAAACCCTGTCTCAAAAAACCAAAAACCAGAACAAAACACTGGAATTTCAGGCGGGCTGCCAAACCAACCATCCAACATGTACATGGACTCTGGAACCCTGAACACTGGTTCTCACACTTGCAGAGCAAGCACTTTACCCAACGGAGTCATTTCTTCAGCTCAGGAATACCTATTCTGAATTCCCTAAGACAGAAAGCTCCTAGAAACCCAATTTTTAAAAAAAAAACAACAGAAAATGGACAAAGGGGCTGGGGAGTTGTTGTCTTACAAGCATGAAGATCTAAACTCAATCCCCAAGACTCAAGTGGAAAAAAAAGTAGCATGGTCTATATTTGTACTCCCACAGCTAGGAAAGCAGACATGGGTCTGACACCAACGAAGGCCAGCCTATTCGAGGAGTTCCACACCAGAAAGAAACCTATGTCAAAACAAGGTGGGCAGCACCTGAGTAACACCACGCAGGGCTGTCCTCTGGCCTCCACACACACGTGCACAGGCACCTGCACACTCTCATATAAGCATACACACATGGAGTGTGGTAGCTAGAAAGTTTTGGGGGCTATTAACATATAAATTTCATTCGCACACACATAAAGAAACTCATTACACAGATCATGATTCATTCCATACAACGCAAAGCAATTCAGCAATTATTTCAAAAGCACTACAAGAGGAAAGTGAGGGGTACAATACACTACACGGCATGCATGCTGTCACCTGAGAACATTACTAAAAAGACATGTAAGAAACTGCTAGCAGAGAAGCCCTGTCTTGAGAAATAAAATTAAAAAACTCAGAATTTAACCTAAACTGAGATTTTAAACTATAAAATGCAACACCGGTGGTAGTGACACAAACCTTTAATTCCAAAACTCAGGAAGCAGTGGCAGGCAGATCTTTGTGAGTTTGAGGCCAGCCTGGTTTACACAGTGAATCCAGGACAGCCAAGGGTACACAGAGAAACAAACAAACAAAAAACATATGCTGGAAAGGATGTGGAGAAAGAAGAACCCTCCTCCACTGCTGGTGGGAATGTAAACTTATACAACCACTTTGAAAATCAATCTAGCACTTTCTCAGACAATTAGGAATCATGCTTCCTCAAGATCCAGCTATACCACTCCTAGGCATATATCCAAAACACTCTCAAGTATACAACAACGACATCTGCTCAACCATGTTTGTAGCAGCTTTATTTGTAATAGCCAGAAGGTGGAAACAGCCCAGATGCCCCTCAGTTGAGGAATGGATACAGAAATTGTGGTACATCTACACAATGGAATATTACTCAGCAATACAAAACAAGGAAATCATGAAATTTGCAGGTAAATGGTGGAAACTGGAAAAGATCATCCTGAGTGAAGTATCCCAGAAGCAGAGAGACACACAGGGTATATACTCACTCATAAGTGGGTATCAGACATATAATATAGGATAATCATACTAAGGAAGCTACTCAGGAAGGAGGATTCTGGCTAAGATGCTCAATCCCCATTCAGAAAGGCAAACAGGATGGACATAGGAGGAGGGGGAAAACAGGGAACAGGACAGAAACCTACCAAAGAGGGCCTCTAAAAGGCTCTACCCTGCAGGATATCGAGACAGATGATGAAATTCATAGCCAAACTTTGGGCAGAATGCAGGGAATCTTATGAAAGAAGTGGGAGATAGTAAGTCCTCCTGGAGAGGACAGGAGCTCCACAAGGACAGCAACAGATCTAAAAAGTCTGGGCACAGGGGTCTTTCCAGCCACGGACCATTCATGGAGATGGCCTGGAACCCCTGCACGGAGGTAGCCAATGGCAGTTCAGTGTCCAAGTGGCCTCGATAGTAATGGGGACAGGGACTGTCTCTAACATGAACTGACTGGCCTGCTCTTTGATCACCTCCCTCAGAGGAAGGAGCAGCCTTACTAGGCCACAGAGAAAGACAATGAATGCAGCCACCCCTGATGAGACCTGATATGATAGGATCAGAGGGGAGGGGAGGAGGACCTCCCTTATCAGTGCACTGGGAGAGGGACATGGGTGGGGAAGAGGGAGGGTGGGATTGGGAGGGGAGGAGAAAAGAGGTACAGGGGGGGAATAAACTGTAATTAATAAAAATAAAAATAATTTAAAAAATTAGAATTTAACTTAAAACAATATTTTAAATTATAAAATGAATGTTCATTTCAGAAAGATCCTTCCTCAAGTCTAACTCAGAAATAAGACAGCTAATTACTGGAAAATTAGCAATTCTTTCTAAAAGAAAAAAGTTAATGCATTTAAAATACTTTACCTTCCTGATTTTTCCAGTAGTGAAGTTCCACACTTCAATAAATCCATCAACAGAGCCAGTGACCAGATACTGACCATCTGGAGAGAACCGAGCACACTCCACATGGGATTTCTGACCAAACTGTTCCAAGTGAGACAATGAAGACGAAAGTTTTATGTAATGGTCTTAAAATAATACCCATTTAACCTTTTGAGCAATCCTGCCCTTGCATATAATCACAGATGGCCTGTACTATGGAGTACAAGAGGACGTTTCTAAACCTGAATCCTGGTAGATGCTATCTCTGAATGCTTACATCTAAATGCTGTTTTAATAAAAATGAGGGAGACCACTTGGTTTTGTTCTTTCAAAGATGGTTTCACTATGTGGCCTAAGCTGGACAAGAACTGGATATACAGCCCACACCGTCCTCAAACTGGAGATCTTTCTACTTCAGTACCCCCAAGTGCTGGGACTACAAGCAGACATCACCACACTTAGCTGGAAAAAAAAAAAAAAAAATTCTTTGTTTTATCATGAGATGTAGAACAAATAATTCAGTTAGCTGAAACAATAACTTTCTGCCAGAATCAGCTATTAGAATGGCATTCCACTCACAAATTAACATGGCTTAACAGGTTTCTGTTGTGTATCTGGACAGCTCAGCAGTTAAGAGCACTGGCTGCTCTTGTGTAGGACCTGGATTCAGATCCCAGAACCCACAAGGCAAACAACTCACAACCATCTGTAGCTACAATTCCAAAGGATCCAGTGCCCCTTTCTGGCCTCTATGGGCACCAGGCACACCTGTGGTGCACAGATCAACATGCACACAAAACACCAATACATAGAAAATAAAAAGTGAATAAATCTTTAGGGAAACAAAAAAACTAGGAATAATCTGACAAGCTACTCACTTGGTATGTGCCTCAGGACAGTGGACAGATGGCAAGAGAAGACTAATGGATCACCATTAGTGATTTCACTCCTTCTTTAGCGCTGCGGTGCACACCCAGGGTCCACACATACAAGGCAAGTGCTCTACTATTGAAAAATATCCCCAGCCCTCTTTTTTATTTTGAGAAGACAGGGTCTCATAAGTTGCTCACACTGGCCTTGAGCTGAGTCTAGAACTAACGCAGGCCACGATGTCTTCCTGCCTTAGGCTGCAGAAATTACAGGAGTGCACCATCATATCTAGCTATATTTTCAATGCAAAAAATTACAACATGTTCATGCCAGAAAACTTCTAGCCCAGTGACACCAATAAAATAAATTCTGGTTGAATGAAGTCAACCAAGGTAAATAAAGTTACTACTCAAAATTATTATCCCATGCAAGTTAGAACACAGTGCAGAAAAGACAAATGTGAAATACTAAACCAAAGTCAAAAAGTCAAATAGCAGGCAACATCTGTGTGTGTGCATTTATGTGTAGTACAGTGTATGCATGTGTACACGTTTACGCTGGTACACTCACCCACGCATGGACACATGGAGATTAGAGGTCACTATCAGTTATCTTCTACCACTGTCTACCTTATTCTTCAAGGCACAGGCTCTCGCTGAATCTGAAGCTCCCCATATTCTGCTAGAATGGCTGGCTACCAAGCTCCCAACATCTGCCTGTCTCTGCCCCCAGCACTGGGCTTACATATGCATGTTCACACTCAGTTTTATGTGGGTAATGGAAACCCAAACTCAGGTTCTCATCTTTGCACAGCAAGCATTTATCCACTGACCCCTCTCCCTAGCCCCATAAACATGTAGCATTTTTACATCTATGAACTCAATTAAAGCACGAAATTATAGAGAAGCTGTAATATAAAAGAGATGCTAACATTAGCAAACATACCTCTGACTGAAAACTGAACTACTTGACTGTGCCTTTTCCTAGAAGTATACAAACAGGCAGATGGTGGTCAAGTATGCCTTTAATCCCAGCACTTGGGAGACAGACACTGGCTGATCTCTGAGTTGGAGGCCAACCTGGTCTACAGAGCGAGTTCCAGGACAGCCAGGGCTACATACAGAAAGCCTTCTTGGAAAGAAAAAACAAAAACAAAAGTCTCCAAATACAATCAAGATCTGGGGATGTAACTATTGGTGTGCTGAGGTCTAACCCTCAGCACGCAGTCACACAGTAACTAAGTGAGCCTGAAGGTAAATTATCCCTTAACACCACAAGTCAACCTTACAACCCATGTCAGTCCTCTGCCTGACACGCAGCCGACTAAGCACAAATGTTTTAACAGGACATGCATGCAGAAGCCAATACAGTCCCAGATTTAACCAGAGTGGACTATTTCTCCAAATAAAGGACTACGGGCTGGACTTCACATACGTATATAATTGTGTAGACAAGTGACGCGCAGCACTGCCAGGCCACAGCAGTACCCAATGGACACCAAGAGCCCCAGGTACTGTCAGAGCTCTCCTCCCTGGTACCTAGCTCCTGCAGCAGGCTCCGTACATTATGAGCACTCAATGACTGACTACCAACTGTTTACGATATCAGATCCTACCTTAATATGCCTGCTCAGTTGTGTTGGAAACTTTTCTTCTTCCACATCTTTGACAGCTGCTTTGCCTCGAAACAGATCTATGGTCATACCGGGAGGAAGTAATCCCTGGTGCTGCTGCCACTTCAAAGCCTGTGAAAAGAGAAAATAATCAATCTTCTCAGACGCTTTGAAGAGCCAATATTTACTGCTTACTCAGGCAAATCCAAGCCTGAAAGAATGAGGTCCAGAGAGAACTAAGCTTTCCGGTCACCACCATCTCTGACCATGCAAACACAGGCTAGGGTACAATGTGTGCAAGAGCATGGGCTACTCACGGCAGGCTCTGACAGGAGAGGCAAACATTATCACACACCATTATTATCATTTCCCTTTATTATAAACAAAAAATGTGGAAAGCAGGAATTTCCCATACCCATTGGAACTTTGAGTTCCAATACTCATGACCACTAACAACATTTTACGTTAATTCCCTCTAGTCATTTTCCTCTGGCATGATGAATTAAATTGCTCTATCAGCAACTACACTATTCACTATAATCTGCCTTCACCTAATATCATCATACTATGGCATACCTTAATATGCCCATTCATATGTATTAGGAATTGCAAAACTATCATTTTAATGGCTGTAAAATATACTGTTTACTGGATGTTTCTGTTTAGCTAATCACTATATTAGGGAACACTTGAACTGCTTCCAACTTGTCAACTTATCTAATGAATGCTACCTTGAACATCTCCAGACAGGGGTGCTTTGTAATCCCAGCTTGTGCCTACTAGGCAAGAGGAAACCCCATGTGAGGAAGTGGCTCCATCAGACTGGCCTGTGGGCACAGCTGAGGGCACTTTCTGGATTAATAACTGATGTAGGCCCAGCCCACTGTGGGCAGTACCACCCCTGGGCAGATGGCCCAGGTTGTATAAGAAAGCAAGACGAGTAAGACATGAAAGGCAAAACAGCAAGCAGCACAACTAACTGGCTTCTGCCTCAGTTCCTGACTTCATGTTCCTGCTTTGAGATCTTACCCTGGCTTTCCTAGATGACAGTAGAGCATATAAGGAAAAAAATACTTTCCTCCCTAAGTTGTCTCCATCTCCCAAATATTAGTATTTACACACATGCAAATCCTCACAGTAATACCATATTTTTGTGTCAGAAAATAAATCACTGTAGGATTTCACTGGAAGCAAATCTACAATCTCACGCACAAGGAGTAAGCACTCTGTCCTACTGACAGAGCTACAGCCCCAGCCTGACAAGACCAAAGAGCTGGTAAGAGTACGGATTCGCGCTGGAGAGATGGCTCAGAGGTTAAGAGCACTGATTGTTCTTCCAAAGGTCCTGAGATCAAGTCCCAGCAACCACATGGAGGCTCATAACCATCTATAATGAGATCTGGTGCCCTCTTCTGCCATGAAGGCAGAAACCTGTATAAAAATAAACAAACCTTAAAAAAAAAAAAAAAAAAAAAGTATGGATTTATGGGGCATGAACATGGCAGTTCCCTAGCAGTTCCAACATAATTCTAAAAGATGCTAGAGCTTATATCCTGGATGCTTAGTCTACATTGCTACTCCAAGAAAAGAGGAAGAGTGCACAGCACAGCTGCTAAGCAATCAGCTATACAGGTATGTTCTATCCGAGGCAGCATTTAATTACCTGTCCCAGCAATGCCATGAGACGAGAAGGCGGCACCACACTGACTTCCCCAGCTAACGCCTGGGCAATTGCTGCTCTCCTTTTCTCTTTGCTACTTCCATCTGGATAAGCCTGGGAGGAAAAAGAGGTGGTATCATTTCCAAGGAGAAGCATGGCATGAATGTATGTACTTAAAGCACTTAAGAGCAGGTACTACCCTACCAGAGACAAGGTCGATTCCCAGTACCCACATCGGTCAGCTCACAACTTCTTGGAACTCCAGCTTCAGGAGGAATTCGATGCCTCAGGCTTCCTAAGGCATGTGCACACATATCCATACATGCATGTATGGACACACACACACTTAAGTAAAATAATTTTTTTTTAATTTTTTCAAAAGCAACGGAAACAAGAAATTCAAAATGGAAAAATATGAAAACAAAATATCCAGTTTAACAGGTGATGAATTAAACCCAATTAGTCTTTTAAAATAAATTTCCAATCCTGCATTTCAGAAGTATGGGAGAGAACTGGTATATATATCATGAGTCAATCCATATTGATAATCCTGAAGAGCCCACCTAAGCCACAAAGACAGAGGTGTGATTCTAGTTTCTGAAATATTTGCAGGGCCAAAGACTCATAATCTTCAGAAATCTTTTTAATTATCTATTAACCAGATCCTACTACACTCTCCTTTCTTTTATTTTGATAGCCCTCCAGTGGAACGTCATGTGTGAAAGAAATTGAGTGTCTCTAAAATGGTGCTTTTCTTGGTGGATGAGACAGCTCTTTAGGAAAAGGTGTTTGCCACCAAGCACAATGATGACTTTGAATCCCATGGTAGAAGAACCAACTCCTGTAAACTGTCCTCTGACTTCCACACATGTATGTCCTTCCAAACAGATATACACAAACAAACAAAAATTAAGAAAAATTTTTGCAGGATCAGATTATTTACTTTTCACAATTAACAAAGATTCTTTTAACTACTACAGTCATACCTCACGAGGATCAAAGTAAGACCGGGCTAAGAGGTTTTCCAGATGAATATAGCGCTCTGGTTGTGTTTGCTTTAACATAATCATGGGGTCTGTCTGTCTCAGAAGTGACCTGGCAGCACCTAATTCGCGAAGCTCTATCAATTCCAGAACAACCTGGACAACAGAAAGAAAACAAAATTTCAGCATACAAATTTTCAGCACATCCTCTTTATCAATCTTTCTCAAACTTTCTATCTCTCTTGAAGGTCTTCACTTTTTTATTCTTTATGTACAAAGACAAGCATGATCAGTTTCACCCGGTAGAGAGCCTTCAATAATCCATTCATTATCACTTAGACCAACTTAATGACGCCCATGTCCTTTGAGTACTGACGGTGAGAACAAACACAGTAGGAGTAAGAACCCTGGCCAAACTTCTGTGGACAACTCCAGGAGAGCTGCTGGTGACCCAGCTTGCCCTCAGGCAGCCAAGAAGGAAAAGGGTTTTTCTTTCTCTTTTTCCCCCCAGATAGGACTTTCTTTCTCTTTTTTTTCCTCCACATGGCCCTGGCTGGGCTGGAACTTGCTGTGTAGACCCCAGGTTGGCCAGGAACTCAGAGACCCACCATGCCTCTACCTCCCAAGTTCTGACCTAAAAGGGTATACCATCATGCACCATTTCATGATTTACTAATTTCTTTTAGAAAAGGAAATTAATATTTCTTTTTCAGTAACATTTGATACAGATATGGCCTGTCAAAAGTAATTTCCAAAACTAGGAAATAGCACTTTTCTTCATCACTAGCAATTTCAAGTGGTTAAAGCAATAATAAATAGGTATCACAATAGCACAGCAGTCAGCCCATTTGTCTCACAAATCAATAAATAACCTCAATCCTTCAAATTCCACTTTTCTTTTTATTTTTGGTTTTGCTTTGTTTGTTTTGTTCTGAAACAGGGTCTCACTACTATGCAGCCCTGGCTGGCCTGGAACTCACTGTATGCCAGGCCAACCTCTGCCTCCCAAGTGCTGAAATTAAAGGTTTGAAACATCACACCTGATTGTTTTTTGTTTGTTTTTTTTGGGGGGGGATTGTTTGTTTGTGGAGTTTTTAATGTTTTTTATCATAACTAAGTTGATGTTTGTTCTAGGGTCTTGTTTTAGGGTAATAAAATCCTTAGAATTATACTATGACAAAATTATGTTACTAAAGAACCCCTTGAATAACACCCAAGTTTGTGCCAAAATGACACCTGACACCTTCACACAGGAATTGGGGGGGGGGGAAAGCTGGGTGCAGTGGTACACACCTGTAATCCCAGCACTTGGGGAGGCAGAGGCAGGAATATCTGTGAGTTAGAAGTCAGCCTGGTCTACAAACTGAGTCCAGGACAGCCAAGGGTACACAGAGAAATCCTGTCTTGAAACAAAAAGAAACAGAATTGGTTACGAGAAAAGCCATGTCATTAGGTCAAGGTCTTGAGCCAGTGCCACCTCTGAGGATAAGGGCCAGTGGGGAGATGGGGAATGAAGACTAGGGCTGGAAACTGTATGATCAGAGTTATATAACAAAACCTCGACAGAGCCCTCTGGCTGGGGATCTGCCAAGTGGGAGGCACAACCCGATTCCAGAGACAGAACCAGAGTTCTAAATTCAGGTCTCTCTGAGACTCCGCTTTCTGGTTTTCCTCTGACTACTTCCAATCTGTGTCCTTGAGAATAAAACACTAGTCACCTAAGTACAGAGCTTTTATGACTTCTATGGATCATTCTAGGAAATTATCAAATCTGAGCATGTCATGTGAGGCCCAAAAGTTAGTTGGGCAAAAGCTTAAGTGTCCTAAAGCTGGGATGGGGTGAAGCATGCCTCCAATCCCAACACTCAGGAGGCAGAGGCAGGTGAACTCTGAGTTCAAAGCCAGCCTGGTCTACAGAGCAAGTTCCAGGACAGCCAGGGCGACATAAAGAAACTGTCTCAAAAACAAACACACACACACAAACAAATAACAGCATAAGTGGCCTAAATATGGCCCACCCCAACCCACCACCCAAAGACAGTGCAGGAAATATCTGAAGTGAGGGAAATCTATGTCAGACTTAGTAGTGTGTGCTAATTCCAGGTGGTCAGTGCCTGAACTGAATCACATTATATTTTCTGATGCAAGAATATTTTTCTCTTTAATTTCCTTTTGAGACAGGGTCTTGCAATAGATCCCTGGCTTGTCTGGAACTCACTATATAAACCACCTGGCCTCTAACCTCCATGCTCAGCTTTAGAATATTTCATTTAATGACCACCTAAAAGTAATTTCAGTTTCCCTGGGTTTGATCCTCAAAACCACACCAAGAAATAATTTCAGTTCAGGAAAATCTTGAATCTTCTAAAAAGGAAGAAAAAGAATACACTGTTGAGTCTTGACAATGTATACTTTCCAGTCAGTTATAAGCCTTAAGTGCTTGAAGAAAGGCTCACTGATACATCCTAATCAAGTGACCAACCAAAAACCCCAGGAACATCTCAATCTTACCTGTTCATAGAGATCAATGAGGGTTTTGTCTGGCAATTTCAGAGACTGTATAGCCTGTAAAACAGTGTCCCAATGGCCACTATTAATGTCAGCCACGAAACTTTCAATGCTATCCACAGTATTTAGAGAGACAGTAGTTTCTTCCTGTAAGGTGGCCAACGCCCGATGCAAACTGTTCTCCTTCAAGTACTGCATGATAAGACGAATCACACTGAAAGAAAGTCATTCAGTTCAGAGATCTTCAGTCAGTAACCCAAAGGGAAACATTTGAGGTTAATTCTCCTGATTAGTCCTTTTACTACCCACTTTCCATTTTAGCATGAGTAAAACTTTCCAGAAATCACAGAATCAAGGTTCCAAAGGACTTCCATCTAAAGATAGGAGAACTGGGGTTCAGAGAGGTGAAATCATTTGTCCAATGCCCCCTCCCCCGAAAGGAAGTTGGTAGCCATTATTATTCAGAGAGGTGAAATCATTTGTCCACTGCCCCCCCCCCCAAGTAAGTTGGTAGCCATTATTATTCTGATCACTGGATTTACTGGATATTTGTTTAAGATAATTTAAACCTACAATAGTCACTTTTCTTTTTCTTTTAAAACATCTGGCTCATGCTCTTAATTTCGGCACTCAGGAGGTTGAGGCAGGTGGATCTCTGAGTTTGACACCAGCCTGGTCTACAGAGAGAATTTCAGGACAGCCACGGCTACACAGAGAAACCATGCCTTGAAAAGAAAAAACTGGGCTGGAGAGATGGATCAGCGGTTAAGAGCACTGACTGCCGCTCCAGAAGTCCTGAGTACAATTCTCTGCAACCATATGGTGGCTCACAACCATCTGTATGGAATCTGATTCCCTTTTCTGGTGTTCATGAAAACACCACTCACATACAATAAATAAATAGATAGATAGATAGATAGATAGATAGATAGATAGATAGATAGATAGATAAATAGAAAAATAAATAAATAAATATTTTTTAAAGAAAAAAATAAAAAGTCACCTAAATTTCTGTAGGAAATTTTGGTCCATTTAAAAAATGACAACAAGCAGGGTGGTGGTGGCGCATGCCTTTAGTCCCAGCACCTGGAGGCAGACTAAGGCTATACAGAGAAACCCTGTCTCGAAACAAAACGAACAAACAAAAGCAGAAAAATTATTTACATCTAACTGCGAATTAGAAACATATATTTCGCTATGAAGAGCCACATACTGGGCTTCAGACCTTCCTACCCGTCTCTTTTTACTGCTGCAATTTCACGCCCGACTTTCAGTCTTAATACATAGCAGGTTTCAGTCTCAGCCGATTAATAAACCTCCCTTTTCTGCTGCTCTTCGGAAGAGACCTACCTCCCTAACACTCAGAACACAAATGTTTGCTAACTTAATTTGTATTTGTCAGCAAGAAAAGGCGGTGGATGGGTCCTGGAGAAGTCCAGGAAATCTCTTCAGTCAGAAACTCCCCGCCTACCTGTCTCCTCGTCGCCCCGTCTGCGCTAAAGATCATTCTTCTGACCCAATACTCAAATTGTCTCTGTCCACATAGAGGTTCCCAATCTACAAGTTGCAAACCGAAACACAAAGGCGCCACCCTGGGTCTGTCTAATCAAACAGCAGAAACAACTGAGCCTTTACAGTAACCAGAGCTCTGATGAGGAGGAAAAGCTGCCGCACAGGCGGGCCGGGGGGCTGGCGACAACAATGAGTGGGGAGTAGCTGGGCAGAGGAAAACACAGCCGTCAGGTCTGCTCAGTGTGCCTGTGCACACACCCACGCGGGGCCTCGCGGTTCCGGCCTGCCCGCCCCCGAGGCCGCAGCTTCCGGCGCGCAGCCAGCCTCCGCGGACACCCTCCCGCGTATCCTCTGCCACCCCACGCCGCGAAGACGCCACAGCAGGACTCACTCTGAAGACTCGATTTCGATCGACATAGCGGTATCGATCCCGGTCCAGACCCTACTCAACACAGAGCCGATCGCACGGCACTTTGCGACACCTCCGGCGGCCTCTGGCGTCACTTCCGCTCGTCACGGTCAAAGGGCAAAGGGGCGGTGCGGAGGGGGTGGAGCCTCGCGTGCTTGTCAACAGTCGGTCTGGAGCGGGACGGGGGTTGCTGAGAAGTTAAAGGTGCTTGATGCTGCAGGTGACCACCGGAAGTGGAGGCGATTATTTTTCCGGCCTGAGCTGTGGCAGCCTTGCCTGTCCCGGAACTCAGGTCCACCTTTCTCTGCCTCGGTAGCGATGGAATTAAAGGTGTGTGCTGTCACGCCCCGCTGTAGCCAGTATTCAGTTGATAACAGCTGCGGTTACGGGAAAAGAAATGCAACCAATGCAAAGGTACAACAGATCTGCGAATCCTTTCAGTATAGACTTTAAATCATACCTAGCATAGCATAACAGATCATACGTTAAGCAGTTACAGGGCTCAGTGATGGAGTGCTTACCTAGCAAGTGAGCAGCCCTCGTTCAATCCCCACTTATTAAAAAAAAAAAAAAATACATAAACGTTGATGAATTTTATAAATGAAGGCTAGAGAGACGGTGGGACCGACATGCAGCCCAGGGCTGGCTTCAAACTAATTATGTCGTTGAGGATGCTTCTACTTTCCAATTGCTGGGATTACTGTTGTACATCACCGTGCCTAGTTCCAAAAGCGATTTTAAAACTTTATTGACAAAGAATTCACATTTAAATATATTTACTAGCCGGGTGCAGTGGCACACGCCTGTAATCCCAGCACTCTGGGAGGCAGAGGCAGGTGGATCACTGTTAATTCGAGGGCAGCCTGGTCTACAAAGCGAGTCCAGGACTCCCAAGGCTACACAGAGAAACCCTGTCTTGTACAAAAAACAAAACAAACAAACAAAACACAAGCGAAAAACAAACACCCACGTGTATGTATATTTACAAGACAGTGAGAAACCTATCTTGTGAAATTACATATTGAGATATTTAAGGTTTTTTAATGGCTCTCTTGTCTGTTACATATATCTATCATATATTTTTTTTTTTTCAAGACAAGAGTTTTTCTGTATAGCCTTGGCTGTCCTCGAACTCACACGGATCCACCTGCCTCTGTCTTCCCAAGTGCTGGACTCACAGGTGTGGGCCACTCCACCCAGCTTACCACATAACTTCTTTACAGCCTCCTTATATTTTTTTTCACCAGTGCTGGTCATCAAAACCAGGGCCTTTCAGTGTAGCCTCTCATATACTGTTCATGTTTTATTTATTTGTTTGTTTATTTGGGTCTTTGTTTTGTTTGTTTTTTTGACACAGGATTTCTCTGTGTAGCTTTGGCTGTCCTGTAGACCAGGCTGGCCTGAGCCTGTCTTTGCCTCTTGGGTGCTGAGGTTAAAGGTGTGCACCATCATGTCCTCCAAAATTTTTGAAAAGAGAAATGTGGCACTAGGTAGAGAAAATGACTAGAAAATGCTGCTGTTACAATGGACTGGATCGTCTTCCGCTGGTGCTTGTGTTAAAGGGGTGCACCACCATGCTCAGCTCTTTCAGTTTTCAAATCACCTAATTCCCCTCAACTCTAAAGAACACAGTCTCAGCCAGGCAGTGGTGGCATATGCCTTTAATCTTAATACTCTGGAGACAGAAGCAGGATCTCTGAGTTCAAGGCTAGCCTGATTGAAGAATGAGTTGCAAGACAGCACGGGCTACACAGAAAAATTCTGTCTCAATAATAAGGATAATGACTTTTTCTTTCTTTTTTTCTTCTCCTTTTCCTCCTCACCCTCCTTCTTTTTGTTGTTTTGTTTTTTTGAGACAGGGTTTCTTTGTGTAGCCATGGCAATCCTGGAATGATTTGATATTCTCCTTCCACCTTGTGGAAGAATATTGAAGGGAAAGTTACAAAATATTTGGAGGTCCTTGAACCAAATACTCCCGAGAACATACTGCAGAAATCCCTATGAGAAATTGTTCCAACAGTCAGGCCTGGTGATGTAGGCCTGTAATCCCAGGTACTCAGAAAGTGAGGTTGGAAGATTAGAAACTCAAAGACTTCTCAGGCTACAAGGAATTCCAAGACAACCTAGTGAATACTTGTGTAAATATAAAAGGTGAAAAGAGGTCTGGGGATGTAGCTGACTGGTAGAGCTTGCATATAATTAACTTTGTGCAAGGTCCTAGGTTCAGGCCCAGTACTACATAAAAGTAGTTCCAAGCAAATATTCATATTCTCTTAACTTTTCATTTTCTTTAACCTAAGGAAGCTATTTTAGAAAATAAAATCTCTGATAACATTGCAGGAGTCTTTCTGGAATAAGTAGTCCAACACTGACAAGAGTAGAAGATAGGAGGTGTACTTTCACCAAAACCAGGATGGGTCCTCCAAGAGAACCCAGTTTGCATTTTTATTTTATACTCTAAAACCACAAGGCGGGGCAAGTGAGCAGGCAAGCAAACAAACTCGAACCTGGCAGCTAGCTTTGGAGCTTTGGTGTTTTAAAGGCGTGTTTCAGTTAGTTGACTGGTGTAAGCTTTTGTGGTCAAGTTGCTAAGGACAATGACCTATTATTTTAGATATTTATGCAGGTCATTCTGTTCCAGGTAGCATGTGAAATCATGCTTGTCAATAGGCCATACAAGCAGTGTTTTAAGTGGTTCACTAAATACATCAACAAATGAGCATCTAATAATTGGTCTTTTCTCTCGTGTTCTACTTCATTTCCTCCTCTTATGAATCTATTGTGAAGATATGAGTTGGTACTCCTGGAGTATCATCAGTATACTTATGGTTTTAATTCCAGTTTTGATGAACCTGGACAGGGTGTTCAAGATGCATAGTCCCAATAGAAGTCTCAACATTATCATTATAAGAAGCCCCATTAATGCAGCCAGCCAGGGTCCCCGTGTTGTTCATACGGTACTCCATTGGCTCTCCTTTGTACCTCTAGCCTTAATCCTTTAAAATAACTCTTTGTTGTTCCCTTGTGCTATTTTTGACTGATTAGTATAGTAAAGACCTGGCTGTCTTAAACTTGTTGGATGCCTATGCACAGGGCCATTCCTAGCAGGACTGATAAAAGTACAGGAATCTTCTCATATCTTTGCTTTTTTCTTTTTTGTTTGTTTGGTATGTTTGTTTTTCAAGACAGGGTTTCTCTGTGTAGCCCAGGCTGTCCTGGAACTCAACTGTAGACCAGGGTAGCCTCGAACTCACAGAGATCCATTCTGCATCTACCTCACAAGTACTGGCATTAATGGCATACTCCACCACTGCTGTTTTGACTGGTTTGGCTCAGCCCTTTTCATTTCTCACACATTAGCTTCTTCTATGACCTGAGAAGGTGGCCCATGTACCATTGTGGTTTTAGCCAGGCTTTGCTTATCCATTCCTACTCCAGTATAGGTAACTTGGCATGAACACAGTACATGCAGGATGATGACATAGAGATGGGTCATCCCTCTGTGGTCAGTTTCCATATCATTCCTCACAGTTTCTTCCACAATCTCCCTTTGTCCTCTGGAGACTCTTCCACAGGCTCTCACTACCTGGAGCCCTCCAAAAGGAATCACCACCTGCTGTGTGGGTAGTTCTGTCACTGCATGATGAAATCTAAGTGATGATCCAAGGTTGGCCTGTTCCCAAACAGCAGCACCTGAAGGAGATCAGGCAAAATCCCTCAGGGGGGAGGGGTAGTTAATTATATTGATGGGTGTCTAGGAATTGGAGTTGCCCTGTGACTTAGGGTTTTATTGTTGTGAAGAAACATCATGACCAAGGCAACTCTCATAAAGGAAAACATTTAATTGGGGTTCCCTTAACATTTTCAGAGGTTTAGTCCATTATCATCATGGCAGGAATCATGGCAGCATGTAGGCAGACATGGTGCTGAAGAAGGGGCTGAGAGTTCTACATCTTGGTCCTCAGGCAGCAGAAAGGGACTGGATTTCCATACTGGTTGGAGCTCGAGCATTGAAGACCTCAAAGCCCTGCCTCCACAGTGACACACTTCCTCTACCAAGGCCACACCTCCTCCAATAAGGCAACCCCCTATAGCAAAGCATTCAAACACGTGAACCTGTGGAGGCCAAATCTATTCAAACTGCCACGTTCACTTCCTAGTCCCCATAGGCTTGTAGCCATAAACATTTAGTCCAACCTCAAAAGTCCCCAGTCTATAACAGTCTCAACAATGTTTAAAAGTTCAAAGTCTCTTCTGACAGTCATTCAATCTCTTAACTGTAATTCTCGGGGGTGGGGGGAGTGAACAGATCACATACTTCCAATATATCATGGCAGAGGATATAGATTACCATTCCAAAGCATAGGGAAGAGAGCACAGTGAGAAAATGCTGGTCTAAAAGCAAGACCGAAAACCAGCTGGGAAAACTGCAAATTCTGCATCTCCATGTCTGATGTCAAAATACTCTTCAGAGCTCCAGCTCCTTTCAGCTTTGTTGACTGTAACCCATGTCTTTCCACTCCCTGTTAGCAGCTTTTCTCGGCAGGTATCCATGACTCTGTCATCTTTAACCTCTTGGGGTCTCCAAGGCAGTCCAGGCTTACTTTCACAGCTTCTGGAACACAGCTTCCGCTGCTGCTGCTGTTCTTGGTGGACGTCCATGGTACTGGCATATCTAAAATGATGGGGTTTTCTGCAGCAGTTGGGCTGTACTTTCGCCAATAGCCTCTCGTAAGTCCTCTTTATGGTATCAAGCCTCAACTTCTTCAGTCCCAGGCTTTCAACTGCCACTGAAGCTGCACCTT